CTGCTGGCTGGCTGGCTGGCTGGCTGGCTGGCTGGCTGGCTGGCTGGCTGGCTGGCTGGCTGGCTGGCTGGCTGGCTGGCTGGCTGGCTGGCTGGCTACGGTGGACACGTAACCTATTTAGCTTAGATGCAAACAAATGAGTATTGCATGAGTGAGCAAGTTTTACGCATCAAGTGCTTTGGCAATTTATCCAGAATTGTTTATGATCCATAACGATTCTGCCGGATAAACAGTTGTGCCGTCCTAGAGTTGTCACTCGTATCGCACTCTCATGCTCTACTTCAGTTACCAGTTGAGTAGTACACGGCTGTTCTGCTTCCTCAAGTAGGCGTTTGACCTGAGAGGCAAAGTTGTGGGTCATTTGAGGTCACAAATTATGCTCACCCGTTTGAGGTAATCGAAATGAGTGTGCTTAGTTGGAAAGAGAACACCTTGGATGTAGAGAAATTCGAATTATCGAGTTTGCTGAACCACCTTCTTTGTGTTTTGACCACCGTGATGAAGCGAGGCATCGTAGATTCGTGGCTCTAGGTGCAGGTGATTGGATGAGGTATCACAGGCTTAAGAGCAACATTGTTGAGCCATTTGGTTGATGGAGTGTGGCTGCCTCGCACTTCCCTCCCAGCTACGCATGAGTGTTGAGTGGATTACGATTTACTGCCAGATGGGGTTCTTGCTCAGTGAGCTTCTGCAACTTTCTTAGCAAATGTGCTGCTCGGAATTTGTCGAAGTAAATTTAAAACATCTATTGCACTCCTTATCGACAGGCGTGACAACAAAGCCCAAAATATTCTCTTTATCCATTGCATTTAGTAGGTTGCAGTTGTCATTGTGAGGAGCTGAATAAGTGCCACGTTTTATTATCGGGTTCATGAATTATTGAAGTGGAGGAGGCTGTATATGGACCTTGGCAATATACATAGGGAGATGAAGTGGGCACGAAGTTTGCCTTCAGTAGTGTAGAACACGAAGGTGATGCTGTTTATTGCCTTGTTGGAGGGGGCATTAACCAGTCCATGCAGGATTCTCGAGAGATCTCTGCACTTGGGGGCCAATGGCATAAGAGTTGATTATTTCATGCCAACACAAGGGCAGGTGGTGTAGGTTTGAATGCAGCATTGGCTATTTGTGGAAGTGCCAGGCAAAAAGTGACCTCAAGTCTCACCTTTCCTTGCAGGTATGCTGCCGGAGAACATGCGTGGAATTGCCTCGAAAGTGACTGAAGCGCCTGGCAAGTTGATATCCGAGGCCACGGAGAAATGCACACTTTCATAGACACTCCCATCCCTTTCCCTTCCCCTTTTACGCCTCTTCTCCTGTCATCCCACCGCCTTTATTTAGCAAACCATTGACTCCCCGTCCCTGTGGCATAATAGTAGATAGGACGCAGGTGAACATCCTCCTACACGAGCAGTTGCCTTCCTTCTCCCCGCACACGGGATGTTATAAGCCACGCAGGTTCTGTGCTTCAAACCATGCAATGCAAATCAACAACGCTACACTTTTGTCCGTACCCGATTGGAATTTCGCGTCCCGCGTCTCTCACCCACCTACCCACCCATTCACTTCCCGACCCACCGCCCACCTACCCACTCACCTATACACACACGGAAGACACAAGAGCATTTACACACACACCCACACGCACGCACACACGCACACGTGGAAATTCAGTGAAACTGCATAATCATAAATGGCGTGGAGAGATGGCTAGCCTTCCTGTCTGCCATTTTGTAAAAATTACTGTCTTTTGTTTGTTTCCTCCTCCTACTCCTACACCTGCTTCCCCAGCTCTTCTTTCCACTCACTCCCTTCTCTGAGATGTCGATGCTGAATGTCGTTGCTAGAGTAGATTCATATGCAGCAGTTCTCTGTCCATGGGGTTATGCTTCCTCTTATCACGCAGAGCATATTTCGTGGAGCAAATGAGCATATGAGTGGAGATTTTGACTATTAAACGAGTTCTTTTAGGGATTTATTTAGGCGATGCTGTCCTACAGCCAAGCTAGGAATGTCAAGGTT